CAGCGCAGCGCTGCTGTTTTTACAGTGGTAACCAAGGAAACGCTGTATCTGGTGAAGCGCCTCCTGCTGTCAGAGAGTGAATCTGCGTCTCATTCAGAGCTCCTGCTGTTTGCTTCGTTCAGGCATGTAGTATAATTTCACAAAGCTAGTCAGAACATTCTGTTTTTGCTTCAAATTGGGTTATTATTAAATCAAATTATATATATGAAATTATATAACTAAATGATATGAAATTATATAAATGATATGTATATGAATTATATAACAAAGTAAATAACTGTAATAACAGATTAGGTTAAATAAAGACATCAGTTTTTATTTCTCTTCTTTTTAGGAAATAAATCAAAGAAAAAATAAACAAATTCTACTGTTCCTAATATTCTGTATGTTGCTCAAAAACAAAATATATTGTGTTCAGCGGAAAAAACGTTTTGTTTTTTTTACTCAGTCATATAAAAATAACACATTTTAGAGCTGTAACGACAATACCGTGATACAGTGAAACCGTGATATTTTTGCTTAAGGTTATCATACCGTCAAAATCTCATACCGGCCCATGCCTAGCTCTGCCATACACCTTTGTTATGAATCCTTCATAGAAAAATTGGAGGAGTGTGTCCTTTTGAAGCACTGGTGATGTGGCATCTCTGAAGGCTGCACTTGCACCATCAACCAATGAATTTGTATGATTCTACAGGCTTCAGACAACTGTCACACCTGGAGGGTGTTCCAATAGCGTCAGCAACTGACACAGTGTCTCATTCCCAACTGAGTGAACCAAGTTTACATACGAAACTCAGACAGTCTCCGCCTCTTCCATTTCTTTTCTGACTGTGAAACAATGGCCCAGGACAATGTTGCCACCTTGTGGACCAAACTAAATAGTGCAAAAAAAACAACAAAAAAAAGTTCTGATCTCGAATAGTCAGAGAAAATATGGACTCAGACTTGAGATGAACTTGAATCCAAGTCCGGTTTTGTACAGGCTTAAGTACTACACACTGCAATAATGTCCAACAGGTTTTGACAGCTACCTGCACACTTAATTAAAGGGGTCATATGATGCGATTTCAATTTTTCCTTTCTCTTTGGCGTGTTACAAGCTCTTGGTGCATAAGTAGTTCTTAAAAGTGTTAGAATTCCAAAGGAACTCCGTTAATTTGACAGCAAAATACAACAAAGAATATCGTTTACATGTAGCGCGCATAGGTAGCGCGTCAATTCTCTCTCTCCCTCTCTC